TGGTTGCAGTCTTGAGATTTTTATTGTGAAAAGACATTTTTTCTTGATATTTTTTTAAAAATTTTTAAAAAAAAACTTTTTAAGATTTGAAATGATTATGGAAAGAGTTTTTTTTTATTTCTTTATTTAATTAGATATAATATCAAAATAATTGAATAAAAAAAAATTTAAAACTCTTTTTAATAATTTTCTGATCAAATACAAAAAAAAATGTTTATAAGAAGTTTTAATACTTCTTAGTTAATAAAATTTTTACACTTCTTTTAAAACAATTTAAAGTTTGTTTATTAATTCTCTGATTAGTAATCACAATTTTGATTTGAATTTAATTAATTTATGAATTGAATATGAATTAGATTGAATCAAATTTAAAATTTTTAATCTGATCAGATTCAGATTGAATTAAATTTTAAATTTACAAAATTATTAAATTCAAATTGGATTTGGATCAAATCCAAATGGATTCAAATTAGATTTAGATTAAACCTAATATAATTCAAATCAAATATGTACCAGTTCATATAAATTGTTATATAATTATTTAATTTTATTTAAATTGAACTATCTAGAAAATTAAAATAGATTTTTTTTTAATAATAATATAAAAGGTAAAAAAAAAATTCAATACTTGCTTTTATTAATAATTTTTTAAATATTTCTTTATAATATTATAGTTTTACTGCTTAATTATTTTTATTATATTCTTTGTTTTGCTAATTTATTTCTTTTAAAAATAGAATATGAAAACTTATTTGATAGCATATAATTTGTATACAATAAAAGTAGCAATTTAACTGACTATAACAATATCAATATTGAAAATACCAATACAAGCAATCTATTGAAATTGACCTTAATTACCTCAACAATTTCTAGAAGTAAAGTATGGAAATACTTTATAAGGAGTGCAAGTTTTAAGAAGGACAAAAAGGCTATTTGTAAATATTGCAGGATAATATATACTTATAGTGGAGGCAGTATTTCTAATCTTATGAAACATCTTGAAAAAACTCATTTAACAAAATTAAATTTAATAACTAGTAATATTGAAATTGTTAATTTTTTTAAAACAAAGATAATTTCAAATAATTTTTAATTTTTTAAAAAAAAATACCATTAATTTTTTGTATTTATATATAATGGATATACAACTTAATAAAAATAAAAAAAAAACTTATTTAATGAATTATTATTACTTAAGAAACTTAATAAAAATAGGAATTGATAATTTACTTTATTTACTTTTTTATTTATTAGTATCATAAATATTTTTTTGAAAACTTGTACATTAAAAAAGTTTTTTTTTTTATAATCTATTTTTCTATTATTAATAATATTATTAAAATATATGAATATAATTAATAAAAGCTTATTTACATTTTACAAATCAATATGGTTTATATTAATAGATAATTTTTGGATAATAATGTTATTATTTAAAACTTCAAGATTAAATTAACATAAACAAAAATTTTTAAAAAACTTGAAAATAAAGATTTAATAAGATTAAGATTAAATTGAAATAAACAAACTTTTTTAAAAAACTGGAAAATAAAGTTTTAATAAGATCAAGATAATTAAAAAAAAAAATAAATAAATCTTTATATTATAAATTTTAAAGATAGGTTTTTGATTATTGAAAGTTAAATTTTTGAATAAAAAAAATTATAAAAAGATAAAAAAAAATAGAAATAACTTTTGAAATTATTTTTTAATTATTTTAAGAAGAGTATTAAGACTTATAAAAGAAGTAGTAAAACTCTTTGCAAACACTTTTTTTATATACAATTAGAAAATTAATAAAAAAAAGTTTTAAAATTTTATTTTAATTAAAAATTATTTATTAAATTATAATAAAAAAAAAGGGTCTATTTTAAACTATATATTAAATCAATTGAAATTATAAATTTAAATAATAAAGTAGATTATAATTTTTTAAAAAAATTTTTATTTTATAAATTGTTTATATTATAAAGTATATTTAATTAAATATTTTGAATAAATTATTTCTCAAAAAAAAAAAAAATTTTTTTAAACCAAATAAAATTAAATTTAATTTAGTTGTTTTATATTTAATTTTAAAAAATAATATTTTATTTATTTATTGTTATTTAATATTAATAAATTATATTTTATTAATTATATTAAAATAATAATGGGCAAATATTTAATTTAATTGTATAAATTTATCATTACTAATAAAGTGTAATAAATGAAAATTATATATTATTTTTTAATAATTTTTAATTGTATATAAAGATGTTTATTAATTTTTTTTAATTTTTTGATTAATAAAGTTTTATTACTATTCTTAAAATAATATTAAAAGTAATATTAAAAATATATTATATTTTTTTTTTCTTATTTATTAATTTCTATAATTAAAAATTTGACTTTTAATAACAAAAAAAAAAACAGTTAAGTAAAGTAATATCTTTATTGTTAATGATAAAAAAGTTTTTTTTTTTAAAAAAAAAATTAATTATAAAATATCTAAAGATTTTTATAATGTTAAAATAAATATTAAAAAAGATTCTTTATAGTAAAAAACTTCATTTACATTTCTTGTCAACTGTTTATATCTTTTTAAAATTTTTATTTTTATAGATTTTTAAAATTTTTTGTTTCTTTTAATTTGATTTTGAATTTTTGAACAGTATAATTTTTATTAAAACTAATATACTGTATTAATATAAAATATATTAATTTTTGAAATACAAATGGATTTTTATTGATTATAATAATATATTTAATAATATTATTGATAATAGAAAAGAAAGGTTTACAAAAAAGTTTTTTTTCAATTAAGTTTAAAAAAAACAATTATTATATTAAAAAATAAACAAAAGATTATATAATACTGTATGTTGACTTTTATTTTTTATTAAATTTCTTGAGTAATAAAAGGATTTTTTTTTAAAAAAATAAAGATTTTTTACTTCAATTTTAATTAAGTAAATTTTTAAAAAGGCCTTTTTATTTTAGTTAGACAAATTTTCTTGTAATATGGTATTGACTTGAATAATTTAATAAGTGAATTTAAATTATTTCTTTGGATATTCTTGAAAAAACTTTTATAATAACATATAAAGAAGTTTTGAAATGTTTTTTATCCTTTTTTTTTTTTCTTCTTCAGTACATTAATTTAATAATTTATTATTTTTCGTATAATTTGTAGTGATAAATTGTTAACAGTAATTCTAGTATACATGTATAGAGATTCTCAGTATTAATCTATCAAGGATATAAAACATTTCTTTTTAAATTTGATCTAGAATACCCAATAAAGACTTTGTTTTATATAGTTTGAATTAAATTAACAAATTTCTTATATTTTTAAAGTAGCATTATTATTCAGCTAATAATATATAATAATAAATTAATTGCTATAAAATTAATTAGCATAATATTATAGATATTTTTTTTGATGTCTCAATAAAAATATAACATGATAGCATAATTGTAAATTAAAAAAGTAAGTTTTTTTTTCCTACAATGGTAATCTGCAAGCGGTGCTGTTAATAGTTGGAAGGGAATTTACTTGAACTATCAGTGAAGCAATAATTACTTTTAAAGTTGTACCTCGAGTTATTTAAACAGAGATGAATGAGTTAAAGAATTGATTTTAGTGATACGTAGATATACAGTATGCATAGTTTACAAAATGTTTAATAAATCACATATAGCTAACCTAATAAAGCGTTTTTTTTTTTTTGTTTTCTTTAATAAATAATAATACAAGTATTACTTTAATTATTATTATTTTAGAGTTGGTGCATTTCTTTTTTAGGTTTTTATCAATACTAATTTAACCTGATTGCGGCTGAAAAACAATTGATCGAAAAATTTGATATATAAAATATATTTACAATAACACAAAAAAAATATAAACGAAATCCTATTGACTATACATAGATGCGTACTATAAATTGATAACAAGTTGTTTTTGTTAAAAGAAAATAATTTCAGTTATAATAAGTTAAAGTTAGTTAATAAGGTTTGGTGATAATTGAGATCCAACATCCTGTAAACATAATTGATCAAGAAAGAGATAGAGGTGATTTGAGAATTTGAAGATTAAAAATCTTGAGAACCGCCATTAAGGACAACAGTGCTTTAAACAAATCTGCCTTATTAATTACGTACAGTATATTATATATAGTAGAATATTACTAGTCCAAGTAAATTTCGGATATTAAGAGAAATAAATAGCCCTACGCAAATATTGACGTATTCCGAGTATTCTTTCTACCATAGTCTCTCTACGATCTAATGAAACCAGTATGGCAGGTTCAAACATATAATTCTCCGGATTTCATTGTTTTTTTTAAAAATATCCTTTATCGGGTTCTTTTAAATATTAACGGTTGAAGTGCCTATTGTTTGTTAGTCTAATATCGGCAAGTTTTGAGTTTCCTTTGCGGACGAGAATGATCACCGTAATTTGGTGCTATAAATTAATCCGTAATCAAACCCTGGGAACGATGCTTCATCCGTGCAAACCGTGCAAATACAGTACATGTAGATTGTCTGGCCATACGTATGTAGTTTATCATTTCAGTTTAATAATTGGCTTAGTGTGCACTAGCCAATACACTTGAAACGTTGACTTATTCAGTATACTCATTACCTTCTTGAAGATTTCATATTACGTGATCAATTAAGAATGCACCCACTATATCATCATTATAAATACAAAGGATATTCTAATTGATTTTGTCTGTTCGTGAGTTCTGTCACATGATATAACGACCACGTGACGTGTACTTTCCCATTCGATTCGAAGCAAGCATGAATACATTAACAGTTCTTCAAATTTTCGAAACATTTTATTTCTCGTCAAATAGTAATCCTTTGTTAAATTCCCTACCCATCGTTTTAATAAATGTGAGACCAGAATACTATTTGTCAAGAAATACGATAATTATTGATGACTCCAAGTTTTTCATTTTTTTTTCATTTTTTTTTTTTTTTTTTTGCTCGAGAAGAAGTTTCCGACAATGGTGAAATGTGGCGACTTTGAACCATTTTCCGTAGATGATGCACCCGGTGCTTTCAACTCTCTCGATAAATCATTTCGGATTGAGCGCTCAAAAATGTTTTTATACAAGACGGGAATGACTCGACTCGGTATTTTTAGCATAAATATATAAACCGTCACAATCGGATCACGATGTACGTACTTTAAATATGGCTTTGTTGATAAAAGGGTCGTCTTCTATACGAGAATATCAGCAACCGAAATGTTGTTTGCATTCCTTAGTTTTAGTGAAGTCTTCGGAAACTCTGAACGAAACTGGCCTGCAAATTCTGATATCGCATCCTTATAATCGCGACCAAGTAATTGTATTATTTGAAACTTGTTGTTTCCTAATTTCTCAATACTTCGTTTGAGTTCGGAATTATTTCAGACTCCATCCAGATAAGATTAGGCCTTGCAAAATGGCTTTCGACGTGAGATCATCTTTGTTTCTGTGTATTATTTTTAGTCACTTTATATTTGCAAATTTATCGAGCATGACTCTCTTAAAAACATTACAGATCACGTGCAGAAAGCCGGTGAAATGAATAACCAACTAAAATTATTCTCGCTTGATCATATACTGTAATTAATCATTGCCGTACCTAGCATGTTGAGAGTCGGCAGCAGAAGAAAACAAAGAAAAATGAACG